TCTTTACTGTGCATCGGGATATTTTGTTCCTGTGCCTTCATTGAGGCTTATTTAAAGTACTGCCAGTTCTCCTGGACTCTTTTCCCCCTCATGTTAGTATTCCAGGGGATCCTGCTCATCAGTTCTCTGAGGGAGTCAAAGTCTGCTTTACTGAAGCCCAGGGAGTGTTTTTTTTTCTTTTTTTTTTTTTTTTTTTTTTTTTCCCTTTTGTCAGGATCCTGAAGTCAACCATCTCACGATCACTGCTTCCCAGGTTGCAACCCACATCTACTTCGCCTGTTAGTTCCTACTAGGAGTCCAGTAGATCAAGCTGCCCGGTCCAAGTTTCCACTTCTTGTAAGCTTCCCTTTTTGTGTTTATGTTCACCAAGGATTTCGCTACTAAGCCAAACTGGTCGCCTGCCATATTTGCTTTTCTTTACTGTGCATTGGGATACTTTGTTCCTGTGCCTTCATTGAGGCTTATTTAAAGTACTGCCAGTTCTCCTGGACTCTTTTCCCCCTCATGTTAGTATTCCAGGGGATCCTGCTCATCAATTCTCTGAGGGAGTCAAAGTCTGCTTTACTGAAGCCCAGGGAGTGTATTTTGCTGCCTTTTTTTTTTCCTTTTGTCAGGATCCTGAAGTCAACCATCTCACGATCACTGCTTCCCAGGTTGCCACCCACAGTAGAGTCCAGTAGATCAAGCTGCCCATGGCCCCTGGTTGGTTTCCTCAGCACTTGTACTAGGAAGCTATCCCCAACAATCTCCAAAAACTTCCTGGATTGTATGTGTACTACTGTATTGGTCTCCCAACAGATGTTAGGGCGATTAAAGTCCCCCATGAGAACCAGGGCCTGTGATCTGGAAGCTTCTCTTAGTTGTCTGAAGAAAGCCTCATTAGTTCCTCCACCTGATCTGAAGGGCTATATCAGACACCAACCACAACATCACCTCTGTTGCTTCCGCCTCTAAGCTTAACCCAAAGACTCAGCATTCTCCCTCTATATACTGGAGCTCTAAGCAATCCTACTGCTCTCTTAACTGCAGGCCTGTTGCTGTTTTCATGTTATAGGCCTCTATTTAGGCCTGCTGACTCCATGTTACTGACCTCAACTTACTACAAATACCACAAATTTGTAAACTTGTCAGCCCAGTAATTAATGGTGGAGCCAAGAGCAATAGGAATTATTAGGGATGCCTGACAGTTCCCAATATAATATTTTGTTTTTAGTTGCCTATAACTTTGAAATTTCTCTTTGGGTGTCAACCTCAGGCTAAATTTTTTTTTTTTTTAAAGGGCGGAAGGCAGAAGTTTCCTCCAAAATTGTTCATCTGTTTCTGAAAATTATGTGCAGAGAATCCTCCAGCAAGCGATCCATGAATTCTTTCCTGACCCCAAATATGGCGATCAGCTAAACCCTGAGCATATGGGCAAGACTCACCAGCCAGACACCCACGAAAAAGTTCTCTATAGTAACTCCTATCATCCCACCATTGGCCTATTTGCCACCGATAGTGAAAGGTCAATTAGTTGCCAAGATCATGTTATCCCATCAAACCGTCCCCTTCATAAACCCATCTAGCTTAATCTTGAAGCCAGATAGGTCTTTTACCCTCACTACTTCCCTTGGAAGGCTGTTCCAGAATTTCACTCCTCTAATGGTTAGAAACCTTCTAATTTCGAGTCTAAACTTCCTGGTAGCCAGTTTATATCCATTTGTTCTTGTGTCCACATTGATATTGAGCTTAAATAATTCCTCTTCCTCCCTGGTATTTATCCCTCTAATATATTTAGAGAGAGCAATCATGTCTCCCCTCAGCCTTCTTTTGGTTAAGGTAAACAAGCCAAGCTCCTTGAGTCTCCTTTCATAAGACAGGTTTTCCATTCCTCGAATCATCCTAGTGGCCCTTCTTTGTACCTGTTTCAGTTTGAATTCATCCTCCTTAAACATGGGAGACCAGAACTGCACACAGTATTCCAAATGAGGTCTCACCAATGCCTTGTATAATGGCACTAACACCTCCTTATCTCTACTAGAAATACCTAGCCTAATGCATCCCAAGACCGTATTAGCCTTTTTCACAGCCGTGTCACATTGGCGACTCATAGTTGTGCTGCGAACAACCAGGACTCCATGGTCCTTCTCCTCTTCTGTCACTTCCAACTGATGTGTCCCCAGCTTATAAATAACCTTACATGTCTCACTATTAAATTTCATCCTATTGCTATTACTCCAATTTACAAGATCATCGAGATCTTCCTGTATGATATCCCAATCCTTTACTGAATTGGCAATACCTCCCAACTTTGTGTCATCCGCAAACTTTATTAGCACACTCCCACTTTTGGTGCTGAGATCAGCAATAAAAAGATTAAATAAGATAGGTCCCAAAACTGATCCCTGATGAACTACACTAGTAACCTCCCTCCAACGTGACAGTTCACCTTTCAGTATGACCCACTGTAGTCTCCCCTTTAACCAGTTACTTATCCACCTCTCAATTTTCATACTGATCCCTATCTTTTCCAATTTAACCAATAATTCCCCATGTGGTACTGTATCAAATGCCTTACTGAAATCGAGGTAGATTAGATCCACTGCATTTCCTTTATCAAAAAAATCTGTTACTTTCTCAAAGAAAGGAGATCAGGTTGGTTTGGCACGATCTACCTTTTGTAAAACCATGTCGTAATTTGTCCCAATTGCCATTAACTTCAATGTCCCTAACTACTTTCTCCTTCAAAAAATTTTCCAAGACCTTGCATGCTACAGATGTCAAACTAACAGGCCTGTAGTTACCCGGGTCACTTTTTTTTCCCTTTCTTAAAAATAGGAATTATATTAGCAATTCTCCAGTCAAATGGTACAACTCCTGAGTTTAGAGATTCATTAAAAATTTTTGCTAATGGACTTGCAATTTCATGTGCCGGTTCCTTTAATATTCTTGGATGAAGATTATCTGGGCCCCCCGGTTTACTCCCATTAAGCTGTTCAAGTTTGGCTTTTACCTCGGATATGGTAATATCTACCTCCATATCCTTATTCCCATTTGTTATGTTGCCATTATCTCATAGCTCCTCATTAAAGACTGAAGCAAAGTATTTGTTTAAATATTGGGCCATGCCTAGATTATCCTTAATCTCCACACCATCATCCGTGATTAGCGGTCCCACTTCTTCATCTTTTTTATTTTTTTCCTATTTATATGGCTATAAAACCTTTTACTATTGGTTTTAATTCCCTTTGCAAGGTCCAACTCGACATGACTTTTAGCCTTTCTCACTTTGTCCCTACATGCTCTAACCTCAATAAGGTAGCTTTCTTTGCTGGTCCCTCCCATCTTCCACTCCTTGTATGCTTTCTGCTTTTTATTAATCACCTCTCAGAGATTCTTGCTCATCCAGCTTGGTCTAAAACATCTGCCTATAAATGTTCTTCCCTTTCTTGGGATACAGGCTTCTGATAGCTTCTGCAACTTTAATTTAAAATAATCCCAGGCCTCCTCCACCTTTAGATCCATAAATTCTTTAGTCCAATCCACTTCCCTAACTAATTTCCATAATTTATTAAAGTTAGCCCTTTTGAAATCAAAAACCCTAGTATCAGATTTATTTTTGTTTATCCTTACATTTAGTTTCAACTGAATTGGCTCATGATCGCTCGAGCCAAGGTTGTCCCCTACAGCCATTTCTTCTTGTGTACATACACCTTAGCTAACTAGCTGATTGCCCTACCTTCTCCATACTAATCAGGGGTCCTCCTTTGTTGCTCCTTCCTCCTTGTGTTTCTTCCCGGTATTCTACTTACTTCAGGGCTTAGATCACTGTCCCCTGATGAACCTAGTTTAAAGCTTTCTTCACTAGGTTTGCTAGCCTTCCCGCGAAGATGCTCTTCCTTCTCTTCGTTAGGTGGATATCGTCTCTTCCTAGAAATCCTTGTGTCCAGAACAGCATCCCATAGTCAAAGAATTGCACTCTGCATCCCTAAAGTTCATTCTTCACTCCCCCCTGCTTCCATTTAATATTGGTGGTACATAATAATTGCCATACTCCATTCTCAGGTGTAGCTGTATTTCAGGGTTGGACAAAAAATGATTCCTATATACACAGTTATTTTGTCTATCCTTCGTTTAGCTGGATTTTATTGTCATTGGAAATCAGTTGCTCAGAGTATTAGATGTCGGGGAGGAGCACCAGGATGAGACCCAAACATCTCTCTTGTCTGATCTTTTGTAGACTGGATTAAAGTATAGAAATTAATCACTGTTCTGATCCACTCTGTGAAATTTCTGTTAAGCAACAAGCTGCTAGCAGATGTCTGCTTAGAGGAGAGGATTGTGAACATACTCTCATTACTGGGAATTGCTGAAGTAGATTTTCTTAGGCATTCACATGCAAACTTATTCCATAAAATCATTCTGTCAGATCCCACACTGAATGTCATGGAAACTAATGCAAAGAGATCCAAAGTATCTCTGAGAGATTGGTGCTGAATAGTATCAAAATTAAAATTAAATAGATAAAAATTAAATTGTCTGAATAGGTGATAAAAACCTAGCATTAGAGAAATGGAAACGTATCAAAATTAAAATTAAATAGATAAAAATTAAATTTGTCTGAATAGGTGATAAACACCTAGCATTAGAGAAATTGAAAAGCACATACTCCTTTGGTCAATAGCAAGACTGCTCTTTATGTTCACTAGCAATTAGCTCTTTTAAATTGTTGATTTGTCATTATTGAACATATTTGATTTGTTCAATCCTGTATGCGAAACCAAAGTGGATTTTGCTTTAACCAGCAGTGAACTGGTATTTTTCCCCCATGCTGGCATGGAAACATCTTACAGATCTTTTCTTTTGAGCTGGAAAATACCTCCAGTAGATAATCGAGTCATCTTCCCTATTTCCACAGTCCTCTTTTTGCCATTTTCCCCCCATATATTTTATCATAGCAAAATTGATTTAATTGTTCCTAATGCCATCTCTGCTAAATGGATGACTTCTCCATTCTCATAACTCTTTCTTTTTTAATTAGACCTATGGAAACCGTCAGATTGTGTTGGAGAAAGAGGAAACGGAAGAACTGAAGAGATTTGATTCCCCAGGTTTGATCCTGATTGGTTTTAAACCATTGGTGATGCTGAAACAGCACCACTACATCAAGCCTGCCCAGTTCATCTATCCTGAAGAATCCTTCATTAGTGGTAAGCAAATCTGGGAGAAATTTACCATGCTGCAATGCAACAGCAAGTTAATTGACAAAGGAGTGGAACAGATCTATCGAGGGCTATGGAATATAGGAGAGTTGATGGTGTGGTGGTTTTGCCCCCACCCGCCCCTTCCCTTCCCTTGCTCAGTACAAATCTTAAAAGATCAATAATTTGATCTGCCACTCTCTGCTTCCCCCCGTCAGAACTAATGTTCTCTTCTTTCCCCACTAGTGCTTCTGAACCAGTTCTTTCTTCCGTTTCCAACCTACACGTAGCTGATCAAGTGTGCCCCCAGAAGGTTTACTTTTGTCACTCACTGCAGAATTTATATTTGAAACTTGAGGCATGTTGACATTGAGGCACGGACCAGAATAGAGATCTCTAGGGTCTTCGGTAGGAAATCTAGAGTCAAAGGTTTATCATTATTACTAAATCCACTAAGGATGTAAAGAGGTGGCTATTTGACCAGTCATATAGTCGATACAGTTTGTATCGACTACACGATTAGTCGATAAGGGAAGGTGCTTTCTCCTGGTTCATGCCGGGTATAGGAACTACCCCTGTTGTAGCTTTGCAGTTTAAATGTGGTAGAAGCTGGATGTACAGGCAGTCCAGCTACTACTACATTTAAACTGCAAAGCTGCAGTGGGAATGGGTCCTGGACTCGGCGCAAGCCAGGACTAAGCAAGCCCTGCTCGTGCCAGGTCCAGGACTGCTGCGGCTCTGCATTTTAATGTAGTAAGACCTGCCCGGCTATTATTACATTTAAAATGCAGAGCCACAGTGGGGGAGCTCCTGGACACGGCATGAGCTGGGCTTGCTGAGTCCTGGTAGACAGGGTCCAGCAGCCCGTCTGTGGCAAGCCTGGGCCCACCATGGGCACAGGCTGCTTCATGACAGCCTTCCCCCCCTCCCTGGAGATGGTGCTGGTGGGAACTGGCTTTTAAGCTGGCTCCTGCTCTCCCCCCCCTTTCTGCCTCCGATACCTGCTTATCAGGTAGTTGATTACTTGACTAATCACTTACATACCTAATATCCACTAAGCAGGAGATTGCAGGGATGCCAAAGAGGGATGTGTGCATTAGCAGCATTCTTGATTATTATAAGGGTTCTTGATTATTATAAGTGGATATAGCTGTAGTGGGTATAACTTATGACCTTTTTTCTCTCCTGTCACCATGCTGTGTGTACTTAGGGTGTGGAGGTAATACTGTAACTTGTAAGTGGAGAGTGCTTAAAATGGAGTAGTTAGTAGTTCTCACACAGAGTAGGCCATGAACTAAAAAGGGCTCTGTTAGGGCAGGGTGCCATTTTCCCTTAGCACCTGAGAGAGTGCTTCTGGTATGGGGTATAAGCATACTTCCTTGAGTGTTGCACTATCAGGGTGGTTATTTAGCTAACTCCTTTACTACCTTACAGACCATATAGGTCCAGCAGAATAGCACCTTCTTGACTCCTGACTATGTAGTCTGAGTTAGCTGTCTGGTAAAAATAAAAGCTAATGTTTGGAATGGAAAGAGGAGTGGGTTTTTATAACCTAGATTCTTAGTACTTTGCAGTAAGGGCCTTGGGTTCATCAGTGCTAGGCCTCCGAGAGGGTGTCATAGTATATTTCCAAATTGAAGGGGGGGAGGGGAGGCTTTGTCAGATATCTCCTTCTGTTCTTTCCCTCATCTCTTGTTGCAAATGTTGGTGAGTCTAGCAATCTCACCAGCATTCTCTTGCTTGTCTATTTAGGTCAGACCATGTTGTCATCTCAGAGTTTTGCCCTGTTAATGTTATTTTTTGTCTCTTGCTCTGGCCTCTGCCTGGAGTATTGCAGATATATTCAAAAAGTGGCAGATGCTAAGGGCCAAGTGTCTGTGTTCCAGGAGAGAGAGCAGGGTTCTTAATCTGACAAATACATGGCTTTGTTGGACAGGGAGCACAACTCTGTTTAATGCCTTGCTGACCAAGTGCCTGGAAAAAGAGGTAATGGCATTATGCAGGTACACCCCCCGCCGGAACACTCCTCCCCGCTTTGTGGCCCTGGTCCCCCAGAAAGAGGAGCTGGATGAACAGAAAATGCAGACAGCCCCTCCAGGTATGTGAAGAGAATGCATTTTTTTCCATATGGTAGCATGAAAAAAGCTTCCAGCTAGAGAGCACATGCTATCTCTGCCAGTTACTGCCTGCTGCCTTGTATAAAGATTGGGGGAAAAGTGACTTGCAGAAACAGATGGGCATGACAGGAATCTGACACTGATCAAGGTGCTCATTGGGCTCTAGCCACCGTTGCTCACATGAAATATTTACTTTGCACAGGTCTGCTGTAATTTTTTGATTGAGGTAACTTAAAATGAATGGATTTCTATGGATTTGTTACATATTGTATCATGTTGCATCTGTGTAGTGTGCCCTGATACACATTTGAAAAGCCTGCATTTGTGACAGCACTTGCCCTGCATAAAATAACATTCAAGTCCAATGTGGTGGCAACAGTTTCCTTCCGCTGCCACATCTATGCTATCAGGTTTAGGTAGCCAACATTAGAATGGAGAAACCTATTTCTGTATTAGTTACCTAGAGCTCTTACAATTCCTTGAATTTTGTTCTGTCTCTGGGCTCTTCTGAATGTTTTTGAGTGTTTATTTTCATTTATTGATTCAGTGTACCAGTTGAATGAGTGAGGCATGAAAGAGAAGAGGTAAATTCTTTTCCTTATGATTTTCCTCACTTTTCTAATTGGACAGCTGTGGGGGTGAGGAGTTCAAAGGGAAGAATAACGCTGCTTACTTGAATATTGTGTTTCCGTCCATTGTCATAACACCTCTGTGAGAGGGATGAGTGTTACCATGATTAAGAGAAGGGGTGAAGCAGAAAAGACAGGTGACTTGCCCGAGTCCGCTGAGGAGCAATGTCCGATGGAATTACAACTAAAATATCCCTAGTTTCAGCTCACATACTTAGATGATATCTCTCGAAAGATCAGCAGCATTGAATATTTTGATACTTATTTTATATTCTGGTAATGCCCAGAGGCACTTGTCAGGATTGGGGCTTAACTGTGCTGTGTATAGTTTGAATATACCTAAAGATACCGTTGGCTCTTTAGAAAAGAGACTGCCTAAGAAATGTCTCAAGGGAAGAGATGCTGGTTAATTGTGCTTTATATTTACAGATCGTGTACAAGTAGTATCTGACTAGCATATGTAGATTTTCTTGCCAAACCAACTGCTAAGCATCTTGGGTTTGCCCTTGACATGCTGTTCGGAGATGAGGTTTTCAGCTAACTACTCTGGTTTCTCTCCTGTGTAGGTTTCCACCTTATTTTCCTGCCTTATGCAGATGACAAACGGAAAGTTGACTTCACAGAAAAGGTTCCAGCCAATCAAGAACAGGTGGACAAAATGAAGGAAATAATTCAGAAGCTTCGGTTCAAGTACAGGTGAATAGAGGCCAGAGGCATGGGGCATGAAAATGCAAAACTATCATCTATGTTGTACAGCACTGAGCAGCAGCTGCGGTATGCACGTAGGGTCTTAAACTTCAAAGCACTAGGTGGAAACGGGGGAATTTGTAATGTAACTTGAGGATTTTTTCTTAACTCTAAGTGAGTCTGTTAAGCTGTCTGTTGTTCCAAGGACATTCCTACTCTAAACACTGTATAAAACCATTGTTTGAAATGCTTTGATTGGACAACACTTTTACAATAGGGTGTCCACATACAACAGTTAAATCATACAGCTTCCAAGTACAGGTTGAACCTCTCTAATCCGGCACCCTCGGGACCTGACTGGTGCTGAACCAGAGAATTTTCCAGACCACAAGGTCAGTATTGTCTAACAGCATTACTAAAACCTACAGCTCACTGGGCTCTTAAAATACATTTAGGGATAAATTAGAGCTAAATAAAAGCATCAAACACTGAGAGCCAGGACCGATGGCTGTAGACAGACTTTATGGGACTCTGAGAAACGTGGCCACACCAGTGATAAGTGGACATCTGGCTAACTATAGTCATGCCAGACCAGACAGTATTAGACTAGAGAGGTTCAACCTGTACTGATTATAGTGGTTGGCTGTAAAATTTAGGAGCAGATCTTTAGGTCAGGTCTCATTGATCTGGGGCAAGCCACTTAAGCCACTGTGATGTTTGCCCTGTGTAGTTAAACCTCCAATGAATTTTGAAGCTGCACTGATACAGATGCACTGTATCCATTATTACAGTATGTGTAGATAAGATAAATTAGTTGTAACTCCATCCCAGGATCTAATATTCCAATTTGGAAACTACTCCAAAGCTCCTACTTCTAGAGGCCAAAATTGAAACTAATTTAAAAAACAAAAACAAAAAAAAAAACCTGTGGTATAGGTCTCCAAAGCACTCGGTTTAGGTTTGTTTGCATTAAGCTAGTAGACTGTTGCAGGGAGACTGAGTACAGGCAGTCCCCGGGTTACGTACAAGATAGGGACTGTAGGTTTGTTCTTAAGTTGAATCTGTATGTAAGTCAGAACTGGCGTCCAGATTCAGCCGCTGCTGAAACTGATCAGTTTCAACA